TCTCTAATGAATATAGATGCAAAAATTTTAAACAAAATACTAGCAAGTAGATTGCAGCAACTTATCACAAGAATAATACACTATGACCAGGTAGGATTTATACCAGGAATGCAGGGTTGGTTCAATATTAGGAAAACTATCAGCATCATTGAGCATATCAACACAAAACCAACAGAAACCACATGATCATCTCAATAGATGCAGAAAAAGCTTTTGATAAAATACAACACCCATTCCTATTAAAAACACTAGAAAGCATAGGTATAAATGGAGTCTTCCTTAAAATAATAAATAGCATTATCTAAAACCTTCAGCAAGCATTATATGTAATGGGGACAGGCTAGAAGCATTTCCAATAAGATCGGGGTGAAACAAGGATGTCCATTATCACCACTGTTATTCAATATTGTACTGGAAACCTTAGCTTTAGCAATAAGAGAAGAAAAAGAAATTGAAGGCATTAGAATAGGCAAAGAAGAAACAAAGCTATCACTCTTTGCAGATGACATGATGATATACTTAGAGAATCCTAGAGAATCAAGTAAAAAACTACTTGAAATAATAAACAACTTTAGCAAAGTTGCAGGCTATAAAATAAACCCACATCATCAGCATTTCTATATATTACCAACAAAGCCCAACAGCAAGAGATAGAAAGAGAAGTTCCATTTAAACTCACTGTAGACATTATAAAATATTTAGGAGTCTACCTCCAAACAAACCCAGGAACTCTATGAACACAATTACAAAACACTTTTCACACAAATAAAATCAGATCTAAATAATTGGAAAAACATCAGTTGCTCATGGGTAGGCCAGCTAATATAATAAAAATGACAATCCTACCTAAGCTAATTTACTTATTCAGTGCCATACCAATCAAACTACCAAAAAATTATTTTATAGAGTTAGAAAAATAATAACAAGATTCATTTGGAAAAACAAAAGGTCCAGAATATCAAAGGAACTAATGAAAAGAAATGCAGGGGAAGGTGGCCTAGCAATTCCAGATCTTAAATTGTATTATAAAGCAGCAATCATCAAAACTGCTTGGTACTGGCTAAGAAATAGGGAGGTGGATCAGTGGAATAGGTTAAATATGCAAGACACAGTAGTCAATGACTATAGTAATCTATTATTTGATAAACCCAAAGACCCCAGCTTCTGGGATAAGAACCCACTCTTTGAAAAAAACTGCTGGGAAAACTGGAAAAGAGTATGGCAGAAACTAGGCATAGACCCAAATCTCACACCATATACCAAAATAAAGTCAAAATGGGTTCATGACTTAGATATAAAGGCTGATACCATAAGTAAACTGGGAGAACAAGGAATAGTTTACCTATCAGATCTATGGAGAACAGAAGAATTCATGACCAAACAGGAGATAGAGAACATTATGAAAAAAATGGATAATTTTAATCACATTAAATTGAAAAGTTTTTGCACAAACAAAGCCAATGCAACTAAGATTAGAAGGAAGGTAGAAAATTGGGAAAGAATTTTTACAACCAGTCTCTCTGATAAAGGCCTCATTTCTAAAATATATAGAGAATTAAGACAAATTTATAAGAACACAAGCCATTCCCCAATTGATAAATGGTCAAAGGATATGAACAGACAGTTCTCAGATGAAGAAATTAAAGCCATCTATAGTTATATGAAAAAATGCTCTAAATCTTATTGATTAGAGAAATGCAAATCAAAACAACTCTGAGGTACCACATCACACCTATCAGATTGGCCAACATGACAAAACAGGAAAATGATAAATGTTGGAGAAGATGTGGGAAAATTGGAACACTAATACATTGTTGGTGGAGTTGTGAAATGATCCAACCATTTTGGAGAACAATTTGGAACTATGCCCAAAGGGCTACAAAAATGTGCATACCCTTTGATCCAGCAATAGCACTTCTAGGGCTATATCCCAAAGAGATCAAACAAAAGGGAAAAGGACCCACATCTACAAAAATATGCATAGCAGCTCTTTTTGTGGTGGCAGAGAATTGGAAATTGAGAGGATGCCCATCAATTGGGGAATGGCTAAGCGAGTTGTGGTATATGAATGTAATGGAATACTATTGTGCTATAAGAAATGATGAACAGGCTGACTTCAGAAAAACCTGGAAAGACTATATGGTCTGATGCTGAGTGAAGTGAGCAGAACCAAGAGTACTTTGTACACAATAACAGCCATGTTATGCAATGACTAATTGTTAAACTGAACCCTTCTCAGCATTACAAGGATCTAAGACATCTCCAGAGGTCGGGATGGAAAATGCTGTCCACATCCAAAGAAAGAACTATGGAAGTTGAATCGCTATCACTTTTTTTACTTCTGTTGAGTTTTGTTTCATCTTTCTGATGGTTCCTCCTATTGGTTTTAATTTTTACTTACAACTTCACTAATGTGAAAATATGTTTAATAGGATGTAAATGTAAAGCCTATATCAGATTGTGCGCATCTTGGAGGGTGGTGGGGAGGAAGGGGGAGAAAAAATTTAAACTCAAAAGCATATGGAAGTGATTGATGATAAATCAAAATAAATTAATAAAATTGAAAAAAATTTAAAAATGACTGAAGGCCTTGGAGTCTAAAGAGTTGAAATGAAGCCCCTGTACCTCTTTTTAGCTGTGTGACTTAGGGTGAAGCAAACATTCTGGGGCCTTGGATCCTTTTTGATACAATGAGTGGGTTGGAGCAGATTTTTATTATGATTTTTATTTTTTTTTTAGCAATTGAGTTAAATGTCTTGCCCAGGGCCACAGAGTAAGTGTTTGAGGCTGGATTTGAACTCAGGCCCTCCTCACTGCAGGGCCAGTGCTTATCCGCTGTGCCACCTAGCTGCCCCTCAATCAGATGTTCTTTAAGCTCTTGTAGAGCTTGGATACTCCCTGATGCTCACAATAATGCTGGGAAGTCAGTTATGTAATTTTAATTATTCCCACTGAGTTCATAAGGAAAAAGGCATTCCAACAGGCAAAGAGAATTTTCTGATACCATATATCTGGCGGACAAGTGAAGTATTTCCTAAGGGCACTCAAACACTGGGGATGCAAAAAGAGGTAAATAAACTGTCCTCATGGGGCAGCTAGGTAGCTCAGTGGATAGAGCACTGGCCCTGGATTCAGAAGGACCTGAGTTCAAATACGGCTTCAGACACATAACACTTACTAGCTTTGTGACTTTGGGCAAGTCACTTAACCCCCCACTGCCAGACAAAAAAAACCTGTCCTCATGTAGCTCATAATCTAATGAAGGTAGACAAGCTTTGAACAGGCAAACTGGGGATGATCAACAGTGAGAAGGCACCAGCTTTAAGGGGCACTTAGCAAAAGATCCTTGTAAAAGGTGAGATTTTAGCTGAGCCTTGAAGGAAGCCAAGAGGGGCAGATGAGGAGGGAGAGCGTTCCAGGCATGGGGGCAGCCAGAGAGAGTGCTCAGAGCCCAGACATCGAGTGTCTTCATCCAGGAACACCAAGAAGTCCAGTGTCACCAGATCAGAGAGTACATGTGAGAGAGTAAAGTGCAAAGAAAAAAGGTGGGGAGGTTCCAAATTCTGAAGGTTGTAAAAGCCAAAGAATTCAACATTTGATACTAGAAGTAAAGTGAAACACTAGAGTTTAGCACATAAGGGGTGACATCATCAGATGCTGGATGACATCATCAGATTTGAGTGGAGGGTGGGCTGGACTGGGAAGAAAAACTGAAGCAAAGGAAAGTAGACAGCGGGATATTTGGAAGTCCAAATGTGAGGTGACCTGGCCACCTAGCTTCCATTACATTCCTTATCACCTTTATCCTGTCTTAATTGTCTGAACCCTATAACTGAGTTAGTGACAAAAATGTTTTGACAATTCAATATTGGATTTTTCTAAAGGGAGAGAATGTTTTGGTACCATATATCCCTGTATCTCAGGGAAGTGCTAGAGCCAACTTCTACCAGAGCTGGTTGTTAAATTTTCAGCATGAGCATTTCTACCTCAGAATTGGCATCCCCTGCAAATTGGTGTTTGGGTCATTGTTTTCTTGATTTCTAAACTTAAGAAAGTGATGGAGATAATGTGAATAATATATGTTGAAAGTATATCTTGTGGGGTTTTTCAGAGAGCTGGTTGTTAAATGTTGACCAGCAGACCCATGCCAGTATCCTGTTAGTAAAGGAACTGTTATTGTGAAATATCTTGTTAGCATAACTACTCAGAGTAGAGAAAGGATTTCATTTCATTTTGAAATTTTATTTTGAATAAAAGGAATCATGTAGAAAAGCTACATTGAATTTCGGTTCACAGATACTAGCTGTCTCTGTGCTGCTCCTTTGCCAGTAAAGAATCACTTGACTTGCAGGATTATCTTGAAGTTTTGTTTACAAGACCCTCAATGTACTGAATTATCTCCTCAGAGAAGTGTTATCTGGAAAATGCTAGCTAATTGATGAAGCAGGACAGAGGCATCCAATATTTTCCCCAGTCCCTGGAAGCAGCTCAGTGTACTGATTTGGAGTCAGAAAACTTGGTTGGTTAGTGTCTGCATCACCTTGGACAAGTCCTTTCCCTTCTCTGGGCCTTGGTGTTCCTTCTTGTTCAATGATTTCTAATAACCCTTCCAGCTCTAAATCAATCATTTGATCAATCATCACATATTAATTCTTTCTCTACCAAATGGCCTAAAGGTACATTGACAGAAAATGAAACCACCTCCACTATAATTCTGTGAAATGAACTAGGGATTTTTTCCTCTAGAGACAGGGTGGAGTGGCTGCTCTCATCAGATTCTCATTGTCTCAGACTTGGAAGGTCCATTCGAAATGAGATGGCATTTGTAAAATTATTTCCTTAGCACAGTGGCTGGAACATAGTAATCATTATATTAATTTTTTCCTTCTGAATATCATTTAAATTCTTATCCCAATGTAGATGATACCAAGGAACTGCTCAAAAGAAGTGATTGGGTGTCATTGGACTGCAACAATTGCAAAAACGGTTGTGCTTAGAGATCACAGCTCCATCTGAGCCTTTTCTGACTGTGATACCTTCATCTTCTCAGGCACAGTCTTGGTCCAGAACTCCCACTTATTCTTCCTCAGGCTCTTTCCCAAAGACAGCTGCAAATTCAGCTCCAGGTACTCTTCCTCCTGGTCATAGACTGGCCAGTGAAAAAGGTCTGCACCATTTGGGTCCCTGGGAGGAAAAACCAAATATTGAGAACTGAAAGGGGCCATTCCATTGGCAAGTGTAGCAAGCCACCATCAGCTCAGCCTGGGAACCAATGGAAGGGGCCCGAAGGTTGGGGTCAGCTGACAGTGGTGGCACCCATAGAGAGCTTGTTCACCCATCCTAAAGCAGTTTGGTCTTTACCTTTCCTGTTTCTAATGCATCTGAGGTAGAAAGTCCAAAGAGTGAAAGGACTCATGTGGGAAATAAGTAACAAAGTCAAGATTTGAACTCATATCATTGGACTCCATTTCACTGGGGTAGCTAGGTAGTGCAGTGGATAAACCTGTACCTGGAGTCAGGAGGGCCTCAGATACTTACTAGCTATGTGACCCTGGGGAAATCATTTAACCCTGTTTGCCCCTGTTTCCTCATCTGTAGAATGAGCTGGAGAAGGAAATGGCAAACCACTGCAGTATCTCTGCCAAGAAAACTCCAGTTGGGGTCACAAATAATCAAAGACCATATCACTGGACTCCACATCCAAAGCTCTTGCCACGGCCACCTGTTCTACTGTTTTCCAAGAGGGAAGAGAAGTCACTGACACTTAAGGTTGATGGTGTGGGCCAAGAGAGTTCCTGATCTTTCTTGTTTTCCTTTCAAGATGCCCATGTGGAGGATGAATCTGCCAGAGCAATTCCTCCCCAACCCCAGCCATGAACTTGAGAAGGGCTAAACTTGTTCATCACACCATGCCTCATTCAACCCATAGGTTGAATGAACTATTTATTTTTCCCTAAACAAATTTCAATCAGAGAAATTCTGTGGAAGTGGGAAACATTTAGGTTTCTAGGAACAGGCAGTACCCCACAGGGAAACTGTAGGGAAAGCAAGGGGCAGCTTTCTCACCCGTGACGGGCAAAGTTTGCCCAGTATGTCATTATCCTGTGGCTCAGGAGTTTTTCCTCTTCTGTTGCCTCGCCTAAATCTAGGAACAGAAAAAGAAGCGTCTTGGTTAAGGTGAAAATGCAGACCCAAAGGCCTCCTTTCCTCCAGTCCCCAGCCCCAAATACCCAGTCAGTTCTTGTCTGGCCGCTGAACTTGTCTTCCATCTATACCTTCCCTCATATCACTCCCCTGCAAGAGGGCCTCCCAAGGCTTTTGTTGGCCTGCTTTATCTAACTCCATAACAGAGTCTCTTCCCAAAAGACAAAGTGATGCAGCTGGTCCAGATATCAGAAAGACTCTACTTCTAATGCAGCCTTAGACACTGACTAGATGAGTGACCTTGGACAAGTCACTTAACCACTGTCTGACTTTTGGTTTCTTTGAAAAATGGGGACACTAATAGCACCTGTGGCCCTGGGTTGTTTGGGAGGGTAAAAAAAAAAAGTGGGATAATATTTACAGCATGCTTTACAAAACTTGTAAAACTGTTACATATATGCTAGCTCTTATTTTTATATTTATATTATTTATATTTATTATATACTTATAACATATGTTATAATAATAAAGTATATTACATTATAATTTTACAATTGCATGTTTTGTTATATGTAATTATAATAATGTGTGATTGTTATAAATGTTATTTATGTTAATAATTATCATTATGCTAAGCCATAACAGCATAGAACAAGCTCTTGTAGTTGGAAAGACTTTGCATGTGGCCCCTGCACCAGACAATGCCTGCTATTCCAGACCCCTGCCTGGGGCAGTGCAGAGAGGCTCAGCAGAGGTAGCTGGCCCATAAGGTAGTGAATTCATTGGCCATGGCAAGTCATGAAACAGATAAAGGTATAAACTGGCCTTCCAGTTATGCCAGGACAGGAGTAGAGAGGTGAAAATAGGGAGAGAAGACTCCAAAAAAGACAGATTTGGGACCATCTACAACCATTAACTTCAAAGATTGTTAAATGTGAAACTTTTGTCCAACAATCAACAAACGGATGCACTGGTAGAGAAAGTGAATGAAGAATAGCTGGAGAAAAGGGAGGGAGAGAAGGAGGAAGGAAGGAAGGAAGGAAGGAAGGAAGGAAGGAAGGAAGGAAGGAAGGAAGGAAGGAAGGAAGGAAGGAAGGAGGGGAGAGATGGAACAAAGGAGCAAAAAATGGGAGTAAGGGAAGAGGGAAGAGGTCTAGCACATTGGGCAGGTGCAATGTGGACAATTTATGGAAGCACCAGGAAAAGAATCACATAGAATCAGATAGTATAACAGTTAGGTTCTACATTAGAAGAGAGGGTGAGGGTGTTAGTGAGGTCACTATTCCATTGAGGTAGGGAAACAGAGATGAAAATGTGTTTTTTTGTGTTCATGCCTCATCTTCTCTTCTGGGTAGCAAACTCTCAAAGTCGGAGACTGTGTCTTATTTATTTTGTGTCTTCCCCAGAGATAAACAGAAGCTCTGCATGCTGGACGCACTTAATCATGTAAACTGAATTGAACAGAATAGCTGATTCAAAATCCTGATTCAGTTCACTTGAACAAGCAGACTGAGTTAGAGGACTTGCAAGACTGATACCTTAATCTCCGATCACTCAGTGAACCAGGTAACTATTAATTGCCTTCTCTATCCCTGGCACTGTGCCAAGGGTTGGAGATACAACAGCAAAGAGTAAAAAATAGAAACAAAAACTCTTCCTAGGCAGCTGAGCTGCTCTTCAGTGCCTCCTAAGGGAACCTGGATTTGGGCTTAGACCTGCTAACTCTGTGGTATTGATAAGTCTGTTCCTCTCTTTGAACTTCAGTTTTCTGTTCTGAAAAACAGACACAATCCCTCACTTCCCCACACCCTGACCCTCACAGGGTATTTGGGAAGATCAAAAGCAGTTAGATGACAGGTGGACTGAGTGCAGAAAATGGAACCGAGAATCCATGAGTTCAGATCCTGACTCAGACCCTTAACTAGCTCTGTGACTCTTGGCTAGCCAAGAGTCACCTTTCTTAGCCTCCGTTTCCTCATCTATAAAATGGAGATAGCATCAGCACCTACTTCACAGGACTGTTTTGAGGCTATGAAATGAGAATGGTATATACAAAGCTCTTTGTAAGCCTTCAAGCAGTATATAAATGCTAGCTACCTATTGTTATTATCATTATTAAATCAGCCAATATATGGGAAGGTCCTTTGGGGAAAGGTAAGGCATTATTACATGTTTTGATGTCAGAGAGATTAAGTAAGATGATGGAGAAGGCAGCCCAGAGTTCCAGGGATTCTGCTCCTTCTGCCCCCCACCCTGGCTTACAACTTCCCTCTCCTTCACCTCTCCACCACTTACAAGGCACTCCAAAGACAAAAGGCACATCATCACCATGGTCTGCTTTCACAAAATCTGGCTTGATTCCATTAACCCAACTTGGTCGATGCTGAAATTCATAAGAGTAGACTGGAGAGCTGTGACCTAGGCAAACATAAGAAATGCCCATGGTAAGTGATATATTGAACACAGGGCAGGGCCACATACCAGGGGCCTCTGGCCTGGTTCCCTCCTTTGGGAAGGAGCTGGGGCGATGGTAAGTGGCCAATTAACAGGCAAGCCTCTAGAGGGCAGCCCCTTAACAAATCCTGTCCAGGAGTGATGCTGTGAGGCAGGACAAGGGCTGGTGTCTGGAGTAACAGGACCTGTGTTGGAAATCCGGCCCTGTTATTGATTGACTATGAGATCTTGGGCAAATCCCTGTGCTCCTCTGAGCCTGATTTTTCAAAGATAAGGTAGAGATAAGAATCCCTGGACTGTCTGCCCAAGAGGGAAGGAGAGGGGAAGAAAATAAGCATTTGTTGTTCAGTTGTTCGTCAGTTGTATTCGACTCTGCATGATCTCGTTTGGGGTTTACTTGGAAAAGATACTGGAGCACTTTACCATTTCCTTCTCTAGTTTATTTTACAGATGAAGAAGCTGAGGCAAAGAGGGAGAAGTGACTTATACAAGGTCACACAACTAGTTAGTGCTTGAGGCCATTTTTGGAGTTGGGAAGAGGGGTCTTCCTGACTCCAGGCCCAGAACTCCATCCACTGTGCCACCTAGCTGTCCTATGAATATGCATTTACAGAGAACTCATTTTATGCCAGACACTGTGCTAAGTGCTTTGCAAATATTTTCTCATTGTAGCCTCAGAACAACTCTGAGGTGCTATTATCATTTCCATTGAGGAAACTGAGGCAAACAAAGGTTATATGACTTGCTCAGGATAAAACAGGTATAAGGTGTCTGTGGCTAGATTTGAACTCAGGTTTTCCTGATACCAGGTCCATGCTATACCAACTGGGATGAGGTTGTTGTGAGGATCCAGGGATAATGGATGTAAAGTGATTTATAACAATAAAACATTCCAGCAGCAGTTCTTGAATTAACATTTTGCGGTTGAGCATTTTGATAACATAATGATAGGATTAGGTTGGATCTAATTGGTTTCCTATGGTATGTATTTTATTTTATACATTTAAAAACATTACTCTGGAAGGAATTTTTAACTTTCCCTGGAGTTCAAAGGGGTCCACAGTGCATACCCACAAAAAGTTAATAACATCTGCTTACAGAAACGTAGGTTATTATCATTTATTATTATTTGTAGACAATGGTCACAGAATCCCCCCCCAAAAAAAAAACCTGATGGGGAAGGTAGGGGTATGAGGGAAGCAGGAAGGTGAATGAGGGGGAAACTCCTTCTGCATGAGTGGGTGGGTAATATAGAAACATTGCTCCGGAGAGTAGACATTTTTACACTGGTTCTGAGAAGGGTCAATGCCATACTCCCTGTATTGATATCTGGCTGCTTTGAGGGAAGGAATAACAAAGATGAAATCTCCCACTATTTCCTGGAATTGAGCTCGACATTGTCCCGGGTCCTCAGTGTCTCTTAAATATTCTTCCATCACCAATGGCACAAGTTCAGAAGGTATACACTGTAGAAGACCCAGGAGAAGGGAGAGTAACAGAAAAATGGACATACCTGGCAGTGGATTGTTTGGGGATGTTTGTTGGTGGGTTATAGGGAATAAGTAAGTGAGGTAGATGATGCAGTGGATAAAGAGCTGGCCCTAGAGTCAGGAGGACTTGTGTTCAAATATAACCTCTGACATGTATTAGCTATGTGACCCTGGACAACTTAATGAATCTTGTTTGCTGCAGTTTCCTCATCTGCAAAATGACCTGGAGAAGGAAATGGCAAACTGCTCCAGTATCTTTGCAAGAAAATACCCCAAAAGGTCACGAAGAGTCAGACATGACTCATCAACTAAACAACCACAAGGAATAAGCCCACACAAGCTTGCCTGTTATTCATGGGTCCTGGACCTCATTAGATCTTTTTACAATCTCCCCACCAGGGCCTGCCTTTTTAGGGTTAAATTCCTCAAGAAGATACTAGACAACTACTTGTTGGGCATAGTGAAGAGAGGATGTCAGCCTCAATGAAAGGATAGAAAGAGCTGGTGTCTCCAAGTTCCTTCCCCCTCTGTGACTATGAAAGAAGAAAGTCAGAAGGTGGAAGCACCTTCGTTGGCTCTCTCCCGGACTGTTTCAATGGCCTCCTGGTTGGTCCCTGTGCCTCAGACCTCTCCCCACTCCAATCTATCCTCCACTCCTCTTCCAAAGTGATTATATAAGCACAGATCTGAGCAATTTATTCCCTTCTCCAACTAAATAAATTCTAGTGAATGTCCATTACCTCTAAGATTAAATATAAACTCTTCTGTTGGGTATTTAGAGCTTTTAGCAACCTGGCCCCATCCAGTATTATTATATATGATTATGCTCCTCACACTCTGCAGAACAGGTATGTCAACCTTCTGGTTCCACCTCTCACAACCACACCTTTGCATTGGAGAGACTCAGCTCACATAGTAAATTTTATAGAGCACCTTTCTCGGTTCCTCCCTCCTCCAGCTGTTATTCCCTTACCCCTCCCCACGATTTGCTCTCTGTATCTTTTCCAACTATCTCTGTACGTACAGGTTATCTCCCTCATGGAAGGTAAGTTCCATGAGGACAGGGACTATTTCACTTTTTCCATATGCTTAGCCCAGTGCCTGCTACATAGCAGGTGCTTAAAAAAAAAGTTTGATTAACTGGTATCTCACCAAAGCTGAAGTTTGCAATGCTAAGTGGACACTTTCTTTATCCATGTTTTCCTGAAATCCAGGAATTGCATGTGCCTGTGTAGAGAAAAATGGTGAACTGTGAATGGTCCTTAGAACTTTTCGAAATTTATGCATTTTTTAAAGAAATCTAATCCAAGGAATCATTTTACCCTTTAAGGAGGAATTAGTGCCATAGATTTGGTTAGGAATTACTGAATGTGCCCAATACCACTGAACAATTCTTAAGAGTTTTTGCAAAATGGTGGGTAATGCCAAGTATATAATCAATAGTGGTCATGGTTTCTATATAATGTCCAGTGGCCTTAGACAATAATCGATGCTTACTTTAATACATGATGCTGGAAATGATGCAGATAAATTTTATTTTTCTGATTTGTGTAAATAGACCAACTTTACATGCATATGCTTAAGGAGGCAGTTGACAAATGGTTGTTAATACCATGTCACATTTAAAATTAACATTGAGTCAATGACCTTTAGATGTGATGACCTGAAGTCCATAGGAAAGAGACCTGGTCTCCCAGTAGGAGGCCCAGGTTCTAGTCCCAGCTGTGTGACTGGGGTTAAATCAAGTCCTTTCTGGGAGATTCAGTTCTCTACTTTACAAAATGAGGATAAACATCCTGATGGTCTCTACCAGCAGGTAGGGATATATACAGCATGTATATGAAAAGAAGTTTTTTGTAAACTATAAAGTGCTGTGTTAATGTCAGCTGGTATTATTAAGTGTTCATTTAAACTAAAGAGACTTGAGGCAGCCCGATGACACGGCAGATGGAGTACAAGACCTGGAGTCAAGGGGAATGAGTTAAAATCTGGCCTCAGACGCTTACTTGCTGTGTGACTTTGGGCAAGTCACTTAACTCTGCCACCAAAAATTTAACAATTTTAGAAATGAAAAAACTAAAACAAAAGAAAGAGACTTGTAGAATATATTTTAGCCAAAAAGACATTGACCTTTCTTGGGCTTCTCTTCCTATATTCTAAAGAGATTTGCACATGAAATGAGTTATTCATTGAGAAAATAACCAAAGGAAGAAAAACTTGGAATTCTTCCCGGGAAGTCTGTTCGGGGTAACTTTTCTCATTTCAGAAAATGCAAATTTACAGAAGAGATAAAGTGAAGAAGGCCAGCTAACATATTAGATCATTGAGTCAGGATCCAAAAAAAAGGATTTGACAGGCTAGAATGTTGGACCGACCACATCCATTGCGATCAAATTTAATGGGGACAAAGTTTTGCAATCTCAAGATGAAGGGGGCACGGTTAGGTGGCAATTTATTTGAAAAAGATCTAGGGACTTTGGTGAACCACAAGCCCCTGAGGAGTTAACAGTAATATGGCAACCTAAAAAGGAACATGATGTTGAGCTCTGTTCAGAGAGACACAGCTTCCAAGAATAAGGAGGTGAGAGTGCCTTTGTGCTCTGCCCCTGTGGAGGCTACAGATATCTCTTCCACATCGCAACTTTCCTCATTGTGGTTTCAATATATTACAGGAAGGAGTAAGCAATTAAATGGGAATTTGGGGGAGTTTTGCTAAAGCCACAGATGACAGGCAAAGGCCAGTAGGTGACACAGAAATTGTTTAGTAACTCAGAAATGCAGAAAACATATGTATGGTATTGTATGATATCAACACATGTTATCCTTTAGTACCATAATAATTCAGTCTTTTGTGGTAAGAAGGGTAGGGAGTCAAAAATGTTATACAAATTTTCCAGATACTGTGGCACTGCACTTCAATCCCCCTGATGTGGAAGGGATAACTGTACATCTGGAATCTTTGGTTCAGTTCTGGGCATCACATATGAGACAGAAAACAGAGAAGCTTAGGAGGGGGTCATAGTCTTGCCATATAGGGATGGGTTGAAGGAACGTGATTTGCTGGTCAAAGAAAAAACTTGGGGCAGGGCTGACTTGACAGTTAACTTTAACTGTCTGGTGGATGGTCACCTGGAAGAAGCATTTAATTGGTGTCATTTGCCCTAAAGGCAGAGCTGAGAACAACAGGTAGAAGTGTAAAAAGAAGTAAATTTCCACTTCCTGTCATGATGCCCTGTCCAACTGTGAGAGCTGCCTTGGGAGCCAGGAGGTCTTCCCTCTTTGCAGGTCTTCAAGAAGAGCTGGATGGCCATTCATCCAGCAAGTTATAGAAGGGATTCTCCTTCAACTCTGGCTTAGACTCCATGGCCACCAAGCTCCTGACCTACTCAGAAGGTCTGTGATTCTTTAGAGAAGCATAAACTGTGGAGATCAGAAAGAAGCTGGCACTAAATAGAACATACTAGAATCTTACCTGTGGAAGACCCCAAGAATGGAAGGGATGTGGTGGAACTCTCCTGCAGCCAGCATCTCTTCAGGATGTTTGGGGAAGAATTTCCCATCAACTACACTAGGGATTACGTCCAAATGCTGAAGAAAGAAGAAGAATAAAAAAAATGAAGAAAAGAAAAGGCAAGTCTATCTCCATAATCTCCCTTACATGTATCACTTTCTCTTCATTCTCGATGTTACCATCCTATTTTAGATACTTTTTACCATTTACCTGAACTGTTTTGGGTTTTGGTGGGGTTTTTTTTGGAGGCAATGAAGGTTAAGTGGTTTGCCCAAGGCAGACAACTAGTTATTGTCTGAGCCCAGATTTGAACTCAGACTGTCCTGACTTCAGGGCCAGTGTACTACCTAGCAGTCCTCACTTATTTGGACTCTTGTAACAGTCTCCAAACTTCCTCCCTGCCTCCACCTCTAATTTATAACACAGGCACAGACACAGACACAGACACACACACACACACACACACACACACACACACACTTCGTCAACTCAGATATGCTCATGATAATCCACTGAATTCAAAGAAAAAAAAGTCCCATGACTCCCCATTACCCAAAGAAAACATTTAACACTTCAAAACTCTCTTCTACCCTTCCAGCCTTATCTCATGCTATTCGAACTCCAGCCTGTGCCAATTATCATGTTTCACCAACAATGGATTCCCAGCTCTCCACTGAAAGTCAGACAACTTTTCCTACCTTTCTGCCTTGGCTCACTTCATTCCTTATGGCTAGAATGATCCCACTGCTTCCTGCTGAAATTCTTCACTTTCTTCAAGGGCCAATTTGACTGCCTCATCTTCCACAAAGCCTACTCTGATATGGCAGCCAAAAGAACTCTTTCCTTCCTCAGAGTTCCCATTATATGTTCTTGTGACTCCCTCTGTGAACTTAGGGTCTGTTACTTGTCTATGGCACAAAACCTTCTCCCCTAAGAAGGGGAGTTCTACCATGGATTCATCCCTTATCCAAATTTTGTGTCCCCCCAGATCAGACACAGAAGCTGCTCCAGAAATGCTTCTGGAATGAATGGCAGGAGTGCACTGTCCTCATACTCAGTAGATCTGGATTCTAGTCCTGGTTGAGCCACTAACACACTGTGTAACTTTAGGAAAATGACATCTCTCTGGTTTCATTATCCTCTCTTACAAAATGAGTGCATTGGACCAAGTTATTCTCAAGATCTCTTCCCATAAAGCTTCCTAATAGGGAGCATTGAAATTGGGCTTTAACAAATAGGGAAGAATTCAACAGACAAAGGAGGGCTAGGAGAGGCATCATGGGAGGGAGGAAGGAATGCTGGATTGAAAATTGGGAGACACCTGGGCTTGAATCCCAGTTCTAATGTTTACTGACTGTGTAATGGCAGAGAAGTGGATAAGTCACTGCCTCTAGGCTCCATGCAGGTTTCTTGTAGTTGTTCAGTTGTGGCCAACTCTTTATGACACTGAGGACCATAGCACACCAATACAATCCATGGGCTTTTCTTGGAAAAGATACTGGAGTGATTTGCCATTTCCTTGATCAGTAGAGTAAGGCCAACAGAGGTTAAGTGACTTCCCTAAGGTCATGCAGCTAGTAGTCTTCCTGACTCCACGCCTAGTTCTCTATTCATTCAGAAGTTTACCCAACTGTCAAACAGGAATACTGATTGTTGCACTTCCTACCTTATGGATTGTTATGAGAAGGGCATTTATAAACCTTGATGGTAATAAGAAAGGAAGACTTTACAGACATGCGACACCCCTGAACAAAGGCATGCAGGTAAGAGAGTATAGGGAGCATTTAGAAGACTGAGGACAGATGACTTTGGCTGGAGCATAGAGTACATGCAGGGAGGTAATATAAGATAAGTCAGGAAGGTCATGGAGGCACCAAGCCATTCAGTATCTGAATATCAGGCTTGGGTTTGACTGAAAGTCAGGAATCCTTTCTTCTTCCATCTCCTTGGCATCTGCTGTGGCCAGAATGAAACTCGACCTCCCAGGTGCTTTGGCAAAGGATATTCCTAGGACTGAAGATTTAGAGCTGGGAGATGCTTTAGAAGACCATCTGGTCCAACCCTCTCATTTTCCGGGTAAGGAAACCGTCATCAAATCAGGTACAAAAATATGATAGTTTTCAGACTGAAGGAAGAAGAGCCAATATGGCTTATGGACAGAGTAATTAGAGGTAGGGGGAGCTAGATGGCACAGCGGACCAAACACCAGCCTGGAGTCAGAAAGACTCATCTTCCTCAGTTCAAATCTGGCCTCAGACACTTATTAGCTGTGTGAACCTGGACAAGTCATTTACCCCTGTTTTCTTCAGTTCCTTAATGATCTGGAGAAGGAAAAGACAAAGCACTCCAGTATCTTTGCCAAAAAAAAAACACACCAAAAAACAAATGGGGTTACCAAGAGTCAGACTCAACTAAAAAATGACTGAACAATTAGATGCAATTAGATCTGCTACTGATATTTAATCTGGCTCTAACACTTACTGCTAAGTGAGTTCTTTCAGGAAGCAATGTGATGCAATGAATAAAGATCTTGGTTCTAAAGATATGGGGTCACATAACTGTCTTAATATTTGTGAGCTGTGTGACATTGGGCAAAGTCACTTAACCCCTCTCAGGGACTCAGTTTCCTCCTTTTTAAATATCCAGTCAATACATCAATTCACACACTGTCCCAGGCTCTGGGGATACAAATACAAGAGCAAATGGCTCCCTGACGTCTTGCTGCTTCCGTTTAATGACTCTAATTCCCAGGTTCAAAACTGGGGGAATGACATCATAGTTATACTACCAATGGCACAAGGTTGTCGCAAAATTATTGAAATGAGATAATATATATATAATATGTATTTTTATGAAAGGAATATTTCAATGAGAGCTATCAATCCCAGGGGATAGAGAGAGTCTTCCCACAACTATGATACTTTCTTCCAAAGATCCATAAGGTATTAGATGTGAAAGGTGACGAAGAACAGAATACTGGAGGGAGAAGGGTCCTCCACCACCACCACCACCACCAACATCATCAGCATCATCACATCATTTCTTTAGTGCTTACTAAGTGCCAAGCACTGTGCTAATAAGCACTTTATAATTATTATCAGCTCATCTTCACAAGAACCCTGGGAGGTAGGTGTGATTCTTATGCCCATTTTATGAATAAAGAAACCGAGGTAAACAGGTTAAATGATAGCTGCTGTCTGAGGCTAGAGTTGAAAGCAGGTCCATTTTCCCAGAACTCGAAACACTGCACCCACCAAGCTGCATCCTCTGTATCTTCACTTGTAGAATATTAGAACATGGAATGTTACACCCTGGAAAAAAAATCATGTTAAGTAGACTAGCAGGAATGGAAGGAAATTTGGAACAAATATTGTTGGAACCCAGAATGTTAGAATCAGATCAGAATGGATCCTTCCAGCTTTAAAGGTACAATTCTGTAAAGAGAGAATGCTTGAGTGGGAAGGGTTGTGAGACTAGAGAATGAAAAAGCTCAGAACGTTAGAACCTGAAATGCTTAGAGCACAGAATGTTGGAAGGATTCTTAGGACACAGCAACTCTAGTGTAGAAGGGGTGGAATCTTAGTACATGGAAAAAGTTAAGAGCATAGAATGTTGAAGGTAGATGAGATCCTAATAAGCAAAATGTCAGAGCTAGAAAGGACCTTCAGACCAAGAATATTGGAGATGAAAATATCCTTGAAGATCATCTAGTTAGTAGGGGGAAGCTGAGGTTAAGAGAGTGACATTCCCAAGATCTTCACCCTAATTCCACCCAATCAAGGTTGGGTGTCCAGCCCTCCCCTGAGTGATCTTGGCAGCTTGTCTTGGCACTGGAACCTTTGTTTTTCAGCTTACATACCTCAGCAATGGCCAGGATCTCTTCTTCAGATTTGCTCCTAAGGCACTGAACCATGGAGGCAGAACTGCGTCTATTACAAGCAGATAGATTGGCAATGGCCTGCAAAAAGGCACCCGCAAGGAGATAATATTCTCATCGTGGAACACCTGGCATGTATCACAGGAAAGGAGTCTTTTCATACTCATTGGTAAGCTAGCAAAGAATCATTTCAATAGGTGATGATGCAGTAATGGTGAAAAGGAGACTAAGGTGGAATCTGTCTGACCCCCAAAGGGGGTGAGTCCCCCAATCACAAGCCTTCTCTATACAGGGCTCAGTGCCCACTAGTGGGGATAGGGATGGGCAGGGGCAGGTTACAAAGACACAGTCCCTGCTTCCAAAGAGTTTACCATTTCCTCAGGGAGAAAGGATCTAAATATCCATAACAGACTCACAATTGGGTCTCGTATGTTGAAAGTGCCCTGAAAGTGGCTAAGCGACTTAAATTCTGGTCCCAGCTCAGACACCAACTCATGGTGTGACTTTGCATGATTTACTACAGAGAACTAGACAAGTACTAAAGAGGTAGAAGGGACCTTCTAGATCATTCCATCTTGAAGAACTTTTCCTCCTCCTCAGGGGATGTCAGAAGATAAAATTTGGAGCTAGAAGGGATGTTACAAGCCATCTAATTGAATTGACTTTTACAGAGAAAGAAACTGAGGCCTCAAGAAGGAAATGCCTTATCTAAAATCATAGGTACAGCCAGGAACTGAATCCTCCCTCTCTGTGCCTCAGTTTCTTCCTGTGTAAAATGAGGGGGTTGGACTAGATGGTCTCTACGGTAACTTTCAAGTTGAACATTCAGTGGCATTCCAGTGTACCTTCTTATAGCCCAGGAAAGCCAGAAGGCCAATGGGGCACTGGGCCATGGGGTTGGGAGGCCAATAAGCCTAAGGAAGTATACCAGGGATTGCAAAAACAAAAGAACAAGGAACTTACATTTGTAACCATTTCTGAGTTGGAACAAACCAAGGTAGGGGCAAAGGCCACACCGCTCTCCATGATTGCTCTGTGGAATAAGCCTTTGGACATGGGGGATAGAACCTGGGAGAACAAAGCACAGCAAAGAGGAGGAGGAAGCATTCATGGGGAGGCCCAGACACTCCTGACTTAGCAGAGATGGAGGAGACTGGGAGTCTGAAGGCCAGGATTGTTATTTGCCCTGCCACACCCCTAAGGTACCCATATCGGACAGTCCCAAACAGTGGCCTCTCTATGGAACCCTGGCTTTTGAATCTTTGGGCACAGCCCAAAGAGAGTTAGACAGAAAAGAGGGCTAAGTATCTTTGGCCATGGTCTAGTACTCTCTGGGTGGTTCAGTAATAGGGTATAAGATGCCTGTGCTCTGTAACCTAGCAACTCTGTTCCTATGCCCTGCCTCCATATAAGGTCTCATTCTTCATTGATTATTGTTTGTTTATTGATTATGAGAAAGGCCAAGATTGTTGTTAGGATCAAATGACATCAAATCCAACAGTTTTTCCCACTGTATCATGGGAATTTACCACGTTCCAATCAGCCATTTTTTTTTTAGCATAATCCTTCCACTAAAGCCTTCCTCCCATGCTTGTTTACAGCATGAATAGTATGTCAGTGATATGCAATCACCTGGGGGAGGGCTACCAAGCCAGATGTTCTTTGCCTCTAAGCCTCCTGATGGATTTTATGTCTGTCCCATGAGGGCCAGCCATGCTAAGCTCTCAGAGGCTCATCAGCAAAGAATGGAGAGAGCAGATCTGCAGCCACAGATGGTCACAAAGGCCACCAGGGGAAGTGCAGAGAGGTGCTGAGCAGTGTTGGGAACAGGTGAACCGAAATGGCAAAATTGTGAATATATTGGGCCTTGAATCATTTCATCATTACCCTGTGTATTTCTTTTGCTCTTACTTGAAGTTGTCAGTAAGCCTTTAAAAAGAGACAACTCATCTTTAAAATAAGTGGAAGAAAGGCCTAGATAATTAGTTGGGACTGGGGTAGCAGAGTATAGTAGGGACTCCAAATGAAATGCAAGGGCAGGTGCCAGCCTTAGAGAAAAAAATCATCAGCCACAGTGGTTCTGAGCAGGGTCAGGATAAGAGAAGAGGAAGAAAAACACAGGTACATCCAGGGCTGGGGAACCTGCAGCCTTGAGGCAACATGTGGCCCTCTAGGCCCTCAAGTGCAGTCCTATGACTGAAGCCAAACTTCACAGAACAAATCCCCTTAATAAAACAATTAGCTTTGTGAAGTTTGAGCTTAGTCCAAGGGCCACACTTGAGAGACTAGAAGGGCATATATGGCCTGGAGGCTGCAGGTTCCCCACCCCTGGAGACCTTGGGTTTGCCTACAAGAGGCCCCCTTTGGGCTGGAGTCATGTCTTCACCATTTACCTGTGAGGAAACACTCGTCCCCCCAGCTGACTCGCCAAAAATGGTGACAAGGATGGGATCTCCTCCAAAGTGGGCAATGTTCTTCTGGACCCATCTCAGGGCAGCAACCTGATCCAGGTAACCCCAGTTGCCAGGTGCATGCTCATCCCCAGTGCTGAAATCCAGACATTAGACAAAGTTGGAGACTTCTGAAGAAGAGCACCAAGTTCACAGAATTTTGACATTTAAAGACTATTTCCTCCAGGTGGATGACTAGCTGGATAGACTGCTGGACCTAGGCCTGGCAAGACTAGCCTTCATCTACTAGCTGGGTGACCATGGGCTAGTCACACAGACCTCTGCCTCAGTTACTCCTCTTTAAAATGAGGAAGACAATGGCATTTACTTCTCAGAGTTGTTGCAAGGATCAAATGAGACACTATTTATAAAGCATTTTGTAAACCTTAAAGGACCATACAAATGCAACTTGTTGCTGTTCTGATTTTACAGACGTAAATTGGTGACAGAAATCTTGATTTCCCCCACCAGAAGGATTACCAGTGCATACCTCTTTCCATGGGTCACTGTGCCTTCTAGTCGGAGCCTCTACCATGCTGCTTCTTCCTTCCCTTCCAGCTGACTCCCAAATCTCTTCCACCTCCTCACCAGCCACCTTGCCCCCACTCTCCCTTCCCTCCTCCTTTTTTAGCCCTCTTTTCTATTTTTTCTTCCCCTATTAAGTCAAGAAACATTTACTGAGCACCCACTATGTGCCAGGCACTATACCAAGCTCTGGGCATGCAGAGAAAAGTAAACAGAGTCCCTGCCATCAAGGAGTTTGCAGTTTAATGGGAGAGACAGTATGCAAACAGCTGTGCCCAAAGACGACCTATACAGGAGAGGTTGAGAATGATCCCAGAGGGAAGGCCCTGGCAGTAAGGGAGACAGGGAGAGGCTTCTTGCAGAAGGTGGGACTAGCACCAAGTCATGAAGGAAGCCAAAGGAAAAGGAGAGAAAATGAACCGATTCTATGGAATATCTTATTCAAGGATGAGGAAGGAGGTAGAGAATGTGAGAGTATCAGAAAACTAGAGAGGTGGGGGGAGGCCAGGCTCCTCTCTGTGAACTCTGCTATCCAGCAACATCACTATCCTTGTTGTCCTCACACACAACTCTCTGCCTCCCAAGTCTGACTTTCCCTGGCTATCCCCATGACTGGAATTCCTTGAAAGAATCTGAGACAGCTGTAATCCCACCTTCTTCAACAGATCTAGCCTTTCCTCCCCGCCCCCAACACATCCCTCACTGCTAGGGCCTTCCAGAGTGAGGACTCCAATTTGAGACTTTATAGAAAATTGGACTGGGGGAAGCTAGGAAAAGCAAAAGCTTTATTACCACGTGGTGAACCAAGCAGGCAAAAATGAAAGCAACACACACACACACACACAGAGGCAATCACAAGCACACACACACACACTTTATATGACAACCTGCATGGACAAACCGAGATTCATGGCACTCACATGCAGGGGAATCATACGGTGGCAAGATCTTGGTGGGACTACACACTCAGAGTGGGCTTTTAGAAGGTCAGTCTTATCCCTTAAAGGGAAGTTTGGTTGGAACAATCAGCACAACATGTGAGAGAGGGCATTCCTCATCAGACCCTGATGTGGTGGGGAAGTTGCCTAGGATTCCTTATTGATTCCTGACTCAGGGACTCCAAGAGTGAGTGCCAGCACACAGACATGCAGTCTGCTGCAAATCCATTCAGGAGCTGAAGTTACTTACAGGATAAGAATAAATCAGGGCTTTTGAAAATACTGGTTGTCTGCCATTGCTTAAATGTATTATGGCCCTTAGGACCACTTACCCTGTGAGTCCATGTTGGAGTCCTGTCACTTATAACAACAACATGACAATGTATTTCAAAAATCACAATTGTCACACCTTCCATCTGAGATTGGTTCTCCTTTTCATTGTATATATTTTGTGTCTATATGTGGTTATTTATATGTTGTCTCCCATTAGAACTGAACTCCCTGAGGGTAAGAATTGACTTTCTTTTGTATCCCAAGCACTTAGCACAGTAACTGGCATATAACAAGGGCTTAAGTAATGCTTGTTAACTGACTGGTTAATTGAATAAGGGGCTGATGGTCTGAACTGTGATGTAGGAAGATCACTGACAGCTGAGTGGAAGATGAACCGGTGTAGAGAGAGAAGAGGCAAGGAGGCCAAGCAAGGAGGCATTATTAGTCCAAGTGTAAGGTGGTAAGAGCTTGCACAAGAGGGGTGGTAAAGTGAGAGGAGAGAAGTGAGTGTATATGAGATATGTAACAAGGGCAGAAACAATAAGACCCGGCAATAGATTGGATATATTGGAAAAGTAAGTCAGTAGTGGACAATGACACCTAGATCACAAGCCTGGGTAACTGGAGGATGATGGTGGCTTTAACAAATAATAGGGAAGTTATGAAGAGAGCAGGGCTTGGTGGGAAAGAGAAAGAGTTCAGTTTTGGGGATGATGTTTATAAAATATGTAGGATATACATTTTCAGGTAGTTGGAGATGGGATGCTGTAGGTCTGATCCTGAGATTGGAAGCCAGACTGGAGAGAGTGAAGATATGTCTAGCCATAAAAGGGAGGAGATATATGGGATGACAGCTAGTGGGGATGGATGGATGGATGGATGGATGGATGGATGGATGGATGGATGGATGGATGGATGGATGGATGGATGGATGGAACCAGTAAGGTTTTCTAATAACACAGGTGAGACATGTTCAATTTTATAGGTAGTACAGAAGCAGCTGGGAGGTGGTGTGGAAGGGGGGACAGAGAGAGAGAGAGAGAGAGAGAGAGAGAGAGAGAGAGAGAGAGAGAGAGAGAGAGATATTAAAAATAGTGAAACTGAGAATGATACAAAGGGTAATCTTCTGGAAAATACTTGATGGTATGGGATCATTTGTGTGTGTAGAAAGCTTAGCCTTAGTGAAGAAAAGGTCCACTTCCTCATGTAAGACAAGAGGTAAAGGAGGAGATAGTGACAGAAAGCATCTGATCAATATGAGATAAGGAGGAGAAGGAAATATGAGGTAGCTCAGTGGATGGCCTCATTTTTTTTTTTTTCAGCAAAACAGAAAGCAAGGTTCTGAGTTGAGTTGGTGAGGAGAGGAAGAACCATGAGAAGTTTGAGGACGGATGCAAAGGTTTAGAAAAGCTACTCTGTTGATTGAGAAAGTGAATTCTTTACAGAGGTGCAGAAAGATTGCCTTGCCATAGTGAGGACACAGTTAAGATTATGTATGATTAAACAGTATGGACACATGCGACATGATTTCATGTTTTTCTCTATCTTCATTCAGCAGTATGCAAAAAGAGCAAAAGGAGTGGGTGATGGGAGAAAACAAAGGCTGAGGTTTGGCAGGGAAAGATTTCTCATAAGATAACAGGTCAACGTAGAAATGAAGTGGTTCACTAAAGGGTTAAGGTAGGGAAGGGAAGAGAGTATAACAAGGCAGGGGTGATGGCCTGGGAAAGAACTGAGGGTGGGGGGATTGAAGGTCAAGGATGAGGATGAAGAACAAGGTTAGGGTGTACCAGGCAGAGAATCTAGTGGAATGACAAGAGATTATAATTAGATGGAGAAATTTCAGAGTTAATGAACATAGAAGTGGAACAGTCATGAGTCAAAGCAAAGTCAAGAGTGATATCATCTCTGTATCTAGCTGAGGTGGGTTGGGGGAGTAGGTTATGAGAAATGAATACACTGAGGACCTGAAGAGTTAGCATGTTAAAGGGCACATCAAGATGAATGTTGAATTCCCTCAGTATGAAGGTGAGAATTGGGAAAGAGAGAAAGACTGGAAACAAGGCAATAAACTCCTTGAGAAAGGAAGGAGAGTGTTCCAAAGGATCTGATAAATAACAGCTACTAGACTCTTGACTGGTTGATGAATAAGGGTTGAATGAGCATCAAAGGAGGAGAAGTTGCTGAATGATGATGGTAGAGGGAGAGTCTGGAAGTGGGAGTGGGAAACAAGGAGTATTTTGGCTTTCTTGTGATGGAGGTATGAGTAAAAATGCAAATAGTGGTAGAAATGATCACCAGGACAGCTGTGTCCTCAGAAAAAAAAAAGTCAGGTTTTGGTGAGTACAAGTAGGTAGAAGGGGTAAGAAAAAAAGTGTTAAAGATGAAAACAGGTTTGTTACTTAATGGAGCAGAAATTCCAGAGAGCACAGTGAAAAGCGGAGATAGCTTTAGAGTACGATACTACAGAAAATTAGTACTTGTAAAGTTAATGTAATCATGAGATTTATTACTATATGCAGTACAGCAAGCTGAGGTTGATTATGACAGTAGGACCATCTTGTTTTCTTGTTTGGTAAACCTAATGGTAAAGTACCTGCTGCTTGATAAAGGGTTTCTCTTCCTAATGATCTGTCTGCTAGTCTGTTTATCCGTCAGTCTATCTATCTATCTATCTATCTATCTATCTATCTATCTATCTATCTATCTATCTATCATCTGAGGCCAAGGAAGAAGTGAATTTATTGGTCATAAGAAGCAGGGCCATAATTTGAAATTGGGTCCTCCGGAAACAAATCTAGTGTTTTTTCTATTTTACCATGAGTACCTTGTAGGGAAGGCAAGGGAAAGCAAGAGATATGAAGTCTAGTCAGTAATTCATGTTTATCATCATTCAACCATTCAGACACCTGGGAATTCATCAAGGAAAAAATTCTTGTGCTCACATATCAGTGAGCTCATATCTCACCTGAAGAAGCCAAGGATCCCCACCCTGTACTGGATGGTGACCACTACCACATTCTGGGTGGCAGATAATATCGAACCATCATATAGGAAAGCAGCACCACCAGTGAGAGCACCACCATGGATCCACACCATCACCTGCAGGAATCAGACATGGCTTTCTTTACAGGAACAAATCCCACCAAGCATGGCTCTGTTGCTCATTTGCTCAACAGGAGAATACTATATCCTTTTATCTTGTGACCAATGTTTAAGTAGCTCTATATGTGAGTGAATTTACTTATCAAGATACTGTATATCAGGAGTTGACAGGATGCATCTGAACTACTCTCAGATAAGAGTCCACTTGACTTGACTCAGAGGCAGTTCAGATCCTCCTTGGAATTTTCCTGGCAGAATCTTCTTAAGATTATCTTGCTGCCAAAGATTGACATGGAGCAAAACAATGTCTTCTAAAGGATCCTTGTTCCCTTGAAACAGGGAAAGGAGGCAGTACTCCCTTCTGAGGGACACAGACCCAACCAGATAATAGAGAATACACTGTGGGAAATAAGCTCTCAGTGTCACATCATCTTGTGAGTGTTTCAACTGTGGCCCAGAGAACCTTTCTATGTAACAGTAGCTGCTCTCTCAAAGCCAAGAGAAGCTGCTAGAATAGATTACCAGCATTAGGCTATGCTTTGGATTAGCTATTTTTTTAAATTGATTTATGGAATAAAACAAGTATTTCTATAATATAGTATAATTTAAAAAGATGATTGCACAGGAAAATGCATATCCACTATGTACAATTTGCTATTCCTTTTAAATATACAACCAAGTTATAAAAGTAATTTTTTTCTTTTTTTCTTTTTGGTTCTTATATGTTACTCACTTCATAAGAAGTTTCCACTGATTAAAGTCCATTTTTAAAAGACTTTAACCCATCTCCTGCTCATAAGCCTGTGTTTAATCGTTCCCATTATGTTTGCATTGTGGAGATGGGATAGGTTAGGGAGGGATGTCATTTCAATCTTATGTCACTGACACCAAACAGGATACCCCAATTAGAACATAGGAGACCAAAATAACTTTCAGCCAAGGCTAAGCTGTAGAAAACCAGAACAAGTAAGAGTTAAAAATTAAGTTGTCTCCTTAAAAGCATAATGATGCTATTGTTGAGTCTGTCCAATTCTTTGTGATGCTGTAAGGGGGTTTCTTGGCAAAGATACTGGAGTGGTTTGCCATTTCTTCCTTGAGTAGATTAAGGCAAACAGAGGCTGACAGAGCTGGTGAATGGCTGAGGGCAGATGTGAACTCAGCTCTTCCTAACTCCAGGCCTATTGTTCTATTCACTGAAACAACTAGGTCAATGGATACAGCAAAATTCTAAGTGTTAAATGCTGGGCAAGAAAGAGATCTTATAATTTCTATATCTAAAACTACAAGAGAAGGCCTAATGTTACTGTTCAGATAACACCATTGTGTTTCGAATGTATAGTTCCTTTAGTCAATGGATTAGGATGCTGCATGCCTAGAAGGTGCAAAGAAATGAAGGGGATTTAATTCACTTGGGAAGAGTTTTTTTCCTTCTATGGAATGAAGGAAATGATTGGTTGGAATTCTGTGGGGGACATGCTTGGGCATCAGAAAGTAGACAATTGCAGCTATATGAGGAAATGAAATGGACCAAATCCTGGACACTGAGAAAGCCAGAGCATGCACTGGCAATGGAGAGGGCACCTTTTGCTGTGAATAACTGAGTACGTGGAGAGAGCAGGGAGACCATCACAGAAGTGGACTTGCCTTGGAGCTCCTTCCCTTTGGTGATCATCGAGGTGTATATGACTGTGTACCTGGGAATTCTGTGTCAGCCAAGATCATTGGATCTTAGGTTGTAGAGCTGAAAAGGATTTTAGAGATTGCCTATTGCAACACCTCCATTTGACAGATGAGGAAAATGAGGCCCAGAGAAGTTAAGTGACTGGCAGAAAGTCATAAAGCTAGTAAGTGGCAGAGCTGGGCTTTCTTCTCAGAAATTCCCACTCTAAATGCTATATTCTCTTCACTACACTCTGGTTTATTGTTACTACACCCATCTCCCCCCCAACCTCTATTCAAAACATAAACCCATAGGGTACTAACAATGAAGGAGACTATAAGATCAGACTCTTTCCAGTATACTTGATCTGAACCCAGGCCTGCTGAGCTTTGCCTGAGCAAGCTCAGTTTCTCTTATACAAAAGTCCTCTGCTCCGAGTGACCAGGCGGCCTGACACCTACCCCAGCTCACTCCTTCCTTCCAAGTGCTCCTGTGTCTCTGGAAGCAATGGAAATTCATTTCTTTGTTTCCCTTTGCAGGGCCAGCATGGGTGGCATGTCCTCCAGTCTTAGACTCCTCCAAGCCCTAGAGTATTCCAAACTCCAAACTCCTTTCATGAAAATAACTCTGATAATCCTATATTTAGGAACTAGCTCCGGCTTTGAGGCATATTCATTCATTCATTCAATACATTTACTGAGCATCTACTCTGTGCAAGGCTCTGGGATAGGTATTTTGAATGAGACCAGGTCCCTGCTCTCAAAGTACTGATAGTCAACTAGAAGGAAAGGATAGGATATAGATCCAAAAACCATAATACAGACTGCTGCCTTGAATGTATATGGAATCAGATTTCAGCCTCATAGGAGGAGACATTTGCTAACAATGTGAGTTGTTGCCCAAGAGTAGAGCTGATTGCCTTGAGTGGTAGTGAGTTCCCTGACCAGGACAACTTCAGGGAAGGCTAGATGACTTGGCAGAGATGTTTGGAGAAGATGATTGTTCCCATGCTGGCGGGACAAGGTGACCTCCAAGGTCACACACAGTTCTCATGCCTTAGGATTCTCATCCCTTGCAGTAGACTTACAGAGATCTGGCTTACTGGCAATCTGGCCCACTCCTTTGTATGGTCAGGAACATAGATATTGAGGTACAAACAGTCTTCAGAGCTGGCAGGAATAGGGATATTTACTTTCATGTCATCTGCCATTTTTTCTAGGGGACTGATATGCTGCAAACACCTGAAAAATGTAAGAGAGTAATAATCTGAATAGAATCACATGTGGATAACAATAATATTAATAACAACAATAATAATAATAATAATAATAATAATGATAACTGAGTGCTCTGAGGTTTGCAAAGCACTTTACAAACACGATGTCTTTTGACCCGCACAATAGCCTTGAGACGTAGGTGCTATTATTATCTCTATTTTACAAATGAGGAAACTGAGGCAGGCAGAGGTGCAGTGACTTGCCAACATTTCACAACTTCTTATATAGCCTTTTTTCATGTTCGTTGCTTATTGAAATGTTAAGGTTTGTTGGAAATCGCTAAGTTGGAAACAAAGTATTTTTTAAATTAAAAAAAACCCACCGACCTGGAAACAGATATTACCAACAGTCAAATAAGCTGAACACATCACAGTGTATGAATGCCTTGGAATGTGATTGCATTGTAACAGAGGATGAATGGGAGGAATTCAAAAATCCTTCTGCAGATCGATGAAAGTTGAGCTAGACCAAGACAGACCATCACTAGAGGCATTTTATCAAGTGTGTCATTGCTGGCCAAGGTATCAGGTGGATTTTCTTTGTTACAGAGGAGCATTAGTTTGGAGGGGTAGGAGGGAGGCTGAGGTAGGGAATGGACAATAAGTGTGTTCTCCAAAGCAAAAGGCATCAAATTGCTTAAAAAACAAAATGAGAGGTCAAATTTGATGACCACTAGCATTCTGAACCTGTCAGTCTGTGAGTTCTGGCTTTGTTATTTTCTAGCTTTGTGTTCTTGGGTGAATCACTTAATCTCTGTTGTTGTTCAATTGTGTCTGACCTGTCATAACCCATATGAGGTTTCTTGGCAGGGATACTAGAACAGTTTGCCAGTTCCTGAGGGCAAACAGGGTGAAATGACTGTCCTAGGGTCACACAGTTAGTAAGCGTCTGAGGCTAGATTTGGAGTCAGGTCTTTCTGACTGCAGGCCCGGTATTCTATCCTTTCAGACACCTAGCTACCTCTAATACGTTAGCCTTTGTTTTCCCATCTGTAGCAATATGTCTACTAACTACCTCAGAGTATTTTTCTGAAGTCTGTTATTCCCTAAAGTCCAAATAAACATGGACTTTTATCATTAAGCAATTATCTGAGGCCTCACAGCCCAGGGAACATTCATACCTAGAACAAATACTTAATTAATGTCTCCTGTTTGCAGAGCACAGAGAGATAAAATGTGGGTAAGACATGATGGCTTCCTGTGCTCATATGGCAAGAAAAGGAGAGAGGAAGGTGCTTCCACAGATGGATGAGTAGTCGCATTTCTCACGTTGCTCCAGGAATCTGGTGGTTGTGGAGGAGAAAACCTCAGAGCCCCCACAGGGGGTTCGGCAAAGGGGATTCCCAGGAAAGCATTGACAACTTTGTCAATCTCCTTGACACTGATTTGAGTGCCTTGGATCTGTCCAGGCTCAGTGGTCCTGATGAGGTCATCTGCATGATGCCCTGTGAAGAAAAGGGAGAGAAATCCTCAGGGACAGAGGCTGAAATGATGTCCAAATGCCCTCTCTACATCTCCCATCATGACTATTCTTTTTTCATGAGATGGGAATGCAAGCTTCCTCCTATTTCTGCCATGATTCTTTTCATTTCCTTGAAAGATCTCTAACAACGGGAAATTTACTCCAGAGAAGCGCCATTTGCACTTTGAGACAGCTCTGCCACTGACTCAGAAGCTGTCCAGCATTAGGAACCTGAGTCTCAAGATCAAAGCCACTTCTCCTCAATAATCCCATACCCAGCCTAGCTTAGGAAATCACAGAGATAAAAATCAGTGCCATGTAGTTTACTAGCATAATTCAAATGAACAAAGATTTAAGGAGCACCTACTACGGGCAAATGCCCTCAGTTCTGAATTGAGGCTAAAATGGCAGAAATTTCCATTCTCCTAGAGAGCCAATGACCTGTGCCCCAATAACTAGGAATACAAGGGAGAGGTATAAAGGAGAGTTCCTGGCAAAAAGCTAGGAAAAGATATGCAGAGGGTCAGGAAAAGCTCTGCTGCAAGTGGCAGTGCCCAAGCTGGGTCTTCAATGAAGAGTCTTCAACAGAACTAGACTAGGGGAAGTGCTTTCTGGGCATGGGAAAGACAATAGACAAAGAAGGGAGACAGGAAACTGCAGGGGATGAAAGGCAGATGAAAAGTAGTTACATTGGGGTACAGTATGAGCCAGAAAGACTCATGTTCCTGAGTTCCAATCCAACCTCAGATATTTACCTGGGCAAGTCATTTTACCTATTTGCCATAAGTTTCCTCAATTGTAAAATGAGCTGGAGAAGGAAATGGCAAACCAATTCTAGTACATTTGCCAAGAAAACCCTAAATGGGGTCACCAAGAGTGGGATATAATTGAAAAAGAACTGAACAACAATACAACAAATGTGAATAGAGTAGTAGGCGTGAAGGCTGGATGCACAGAGTACTGTATTTGGGCTCAGAGAATAGGGGTTCAATTGTAGCTCTACCTTTTACTGCCCATGTGAACGTGTTACAATTTCCTTCCCTTCCATAAGACTGTTTCTCCTCTTTGATGAAATGGGAAAAGGGCATTGAATTCAATGGTCCTTAAGATTTCTCCCAGCTCTCCACCCTAGAGTCCAAGAGCTAGAGACTGATGAAGTGTCAGGGCACATGGCTACTCTCTGCCTAGGTCAGAAGGACAAAGGTCAGGTGTGCCTCTGAACGATTAGCTCCCCCTTTATCAAAGGAGATCAAAGTATAGCCCTATATAAAAGCCTGGGATTGATTTTAACATACATCAGCTGAGCTTCAGTTTCTCCTCTGTAATCATAGTGGTTTGGGAGGATGAAAGTAAAGAAAGAACCCAAAGCCTCCCCCTTCTGGGATAAGAACTCACTGTGTGACAAAAACTTCCAGGAAAACTGGAAAACACTATGACAGAAATTAGTCATAGACCAACATCTCATACCATATACCAAGATAAAGTCAAAATGGACATGTGATTTAGACAGAAAGGGTGATACGATAAGCAAATTAGGATAGCAAGGAATAGTTTACTTGTCAGATCTATGGAGAAGGCAACTCTTGGTTGAGTTGTGAACTTATCCAACCATTTTGGAGAACCATTCATGACTGTGCCCACAGGGCTGTAAAATTGTGCATACACAATCCAGCAATACCACTTCTAAGTCTGTATCCCAAAGAGATCATAAAAGGGGGAAATTACCTACATGTGCAAAAATAGTTATAGCAGCTGGGTTTGTGGTGGCAAAGAATTAGAAAGTGAGGTAAGGCCTGTTAATTGGGTAATGACTGAACAAGTTGCAGCAAACGAATGTAATGGAATACCATTGTGCTATAAGAAATAATGTGCAGGCAGATTTCTGAAAAACTTGGAAAGATTGATATGAACTAATGCTGAGCAAAGTGAGCAGAACCCAGAGAACACTGTACGCAGCAATAGCAACAATATACAATCATCTCCCAAGAATGACTCAGCTCTTCTCAGCAATACAATGATCTAAGACAATTCCAAAAGATTCATGACGGAAAATGCTATCGATGTTCAGAGAAAGAACTATGGAGTCTGAATACAGATCAAAGCATACTATTTTCATTTGGGGGGGGGTTGGGCAGTTTTTCACTGTTCTTCTGTTTCTTCTTTCACAACATTGCTAATGTGGAAATATATTTACATTATTGCAAATGTAAAACCTGTATCAGATTGCTTGCCATCTCGGAGAGGGAAGATGGGAGGAGGGGGAGGAGAAAAAATTTGAAACTCAAAATCTTGTAAAAAATGAATATTGATTGAGCAGAGATAGAGGCTGTGGCCCCCTGGCCTGTTCCTCCTGAGTCTGCATTCCCCTCCAGATCCACTGCTACTGGCTCCCAGAATTCCAAACCAGACTGGCACATCCTGGAACTTTCCACAGTGCCTGGAGCTTCCTTGCCCAGGTACATCCAACCACCACTGCAAACTCCTCAATTCGGAAGCCCTTCTATAATTCTGGTCCCATCTCCCACTGCCAGAAAATAAAACTTCAATGAAATGAATGACTGTTAAACATTCATGATGAAAAGGCCAGAGCTGCAAAGAAACTTTGAAGTGCAAACAAAGGAGTCAAGAAAAATCATAAAAAGGAGGCTTTGCAATGTTCCAGAGCTTGATGAAACCAGCATGATGTCATCCACAAACAGGACCAACTAGAGGCCGTCACTATCCAAAAGGAATCTTTCTTTAGCCCAGACTGAGCTGATCTCCTCCATCCCAATGGTGAACAACTTTGGTTTTCCAAAATATTTCTTACTATCCTCATTTATTTCCAACTTTGCATTGAAGTCACTAAGTGCCAAAGTCAATGATAATATAATTTGAAGCATTATACCAAGATCTTCATAGAATTTCTCTACACACTTATCCTCTCAAACCAATGTTGGTGCTTAGCACACAATTATCTTCATGGTCATCTTTTTACAAAAACTTATTACAAGAAAAATCAATCAACAAGGATTTATTAAGCACCTACTATGTGCCAGGAAAGCACTGAAGATACTAGTACTAAGAATGAAACAATCTTTGTTTGCAACAAACACACATTTTAATGGATTGCAAAGGTCCCATGAAATGAGGTCCCTTGTGGCCTTTAGGCATACAATAAGAACAACTCTACTGCATATTTTATGTGCCTCTCCAAGAAGAACCTGTAAGCCATTCTTGGCTTTCTGATTCCATTTATAGTAAGAATTTCAAGATTGATACAATTCCATTGCTCCCATGGTAGGTCCATTCATTTGTCACTGGTCAAGGATCTCATATTTAGATTGTTAAAATTTATAAATGTAGGGGGAGAAAATCTCTGAAGCAAGTTTCTCTTATTTCCAAGATCCATAGGAAATTAAATCACATTATTTTCTAAGTACCATTCTACAATAGATAAATGGCCAAAGGATATGAACAGAAACCTTTCAAAGGGAAAAAGCCAAGTTATCAAAAATCATATAAAAAATGTTTACAACACTAATTCTTAAAGAAATGCAAATTAAAGCAAATTTGAGTTTCCACTGTATGCCTATTATTGAACTGGCAAAAGAAGAAAAGGACAAATGCTAGAGGGTCTATAAAAAAAATATGCATACTAGTGCATGGTTAGTAGAGCTGTGATTTGGTCCAGGCTTTCTAGGAAGTATTTGGAACTGTGCCCAGAAAATTACCAAACTGTGCATACCCTATGAGCTAGCAATATAACCACTAGATCTATTCCCCAAAGAGATTAAAGAGAGAGGAAAAGGACATATAGGCACAAAAATATTTACAGCAACTCCTCATGGTAGCCAGAAATTGGAAACCCAAGAACTGTCTTCTTTCTGGGTAATGGCTAAAGAAATTGTGATATATGAACGTAACAGAATATTACTGTGCCAATTAGAAATAATGAAATGGACAATTTCAGTAGAAACCAGGAAAGCCTTTATGAATGAGTGCAGAGCTAAGTGGGCAGAACCAAAACAATTTATGCAATGGCAACAACATTCTAAGGAAAAACAATTTGGAAAGACTTTAGAAGTCTTATCTAAGTAATTCTGATGAAACATGAATCCAAAAGAATTAATACAAAATATTCCACTTATCTCTTGAAAGAGAGGTGATGAAGTTAACAGGCAGAAAAAGACCTACATTTTCAGACACAGTTAATGTAAGAATTTGTTTTTTTTCAGACTTGATAGATAAGTATTAAAATATATGTATTGTTTTGTTTTGTGCTTAATTTGCTTAATGGAGCAGTAGTAGTAAGAGGGGCATATTAATGAAAAGATATTTGTTACCAGAATGATTTTTAAAATATTTAATAATGTTTATAGATTTTCTAAAAATATGTTACTGTACTAATATATCATGTGCATCATAAAATATACACAAAATAGAAGTTCTAAAAGAATGAGATAAAGTAAATAATATTTTTTAAAAATTTGCATTTTACATAACAAAAATAGAAAAAGCATTTTTGCTCTCATTGTTAATGCCAGTAGTAGTAAATATATTTTTGCGAGGAAAAAATATGAATGTTGAAAACTATCTTTACATGTAATTGGATAACATAAGATCATATTCACCAAAAAAAAAAAAGAAAAAAGAAATAGAAAATAAAGAAACAAGCTGTGCCACATTTTCTCATGCAAAAGCAGAGCGTTTGTTTCCAGTCTGAAAAAAGATCCCCCCCTAAGTCTCACCCTTACCTACCTCCTTGAAAATCACTCAGCTTTCCCTCTCTCCCTACTCCACCAGCAGCTGATAGAAGAGTTTTTATAAGTAACACTTGGATAGTACATCAATTTCTTAGCTGCAAACTGAGTTTGGCCTCCTGAAATCAAACTAACAATAATCCTTCACCCCCGCTCCCAGACCACCCACCCAACCAGTCAGTGAAGGCAAACAAGAGAAAAAAACAATGCACAAGTCCTATATCTCCCATGAGAAAATTGAAGTACTCCTCAAATATCCTGCAGTAATCAGCCCTTACTCTGGGTCAGCCTGGCACAGCTGCTCACCTGGGGCTTGAATCAGGACTCCCAGGATGCCCAAAATCAGGACCTTGGGCAGCAGGGAAGTCTTCCGCATCTTTCCCTCTGCACAGTCTTCTGGTGATGCCTAATCAGACGCCTGGCCTGGCCTTTAATACAAAATAGAACTGGATCAAATGGCACTTCAGGGAAATTGTGGCTAAGTGTTACTTAAAGGACTTTCTCCTCAGACATTGTCTCAGGCATATTTGAGAAAAAATTAGATTGAGTGTATAAAGGAAAAAGAAGACATCTGAAAATATATCTATGTAACAGGGATATGCTGGTAAATGTGTAATAACAACGTCTCTGGAAAACAAAAGAAACAAACAAATATGTCCATGACATGCTCTTAATTTAATCTCTATTAGTAACATTTTTCCAACACTTAAGTCTGGACAATCAACAGAACGATAAATCAAACCCTGAATTGTAGAATTTTCTGATTTCAGAGGGGCAAATATGACAATGGGTTCACAAGAGCCAGTTTGAGCTGCCCCCACCACTTCACCTGAAGTGTCAAGTCTCAAAATTTGAATCACACAACCTACCCACTCTCCCTCCCAATTTCTGGAGACTTCTATGACCTTTCATCTTTTGAAGCTCTTCAGTTCCTTGGTTTTTCTTCCAGATCCCATTTGGGGTCTCATCAGCAAAGATACTGGAGTGGTTTGGTATTTCTTTCTCCAGCTCATGTTGCAAATGAGGAAACAGGATTAAGTGACATGCCCAAGGTCCCACAGCTAGGAAGTATTTCAGGCAGGATTTGAACACACTGTGCTAAGCTCTAGTAACACAAATACCATCATAAAGGCAACCCAAGAACAGTGAGAGCTTGCATTCTGATGGAGAGAAACAACAGATAAAAGATGAGGGGTGGAGGAGGAGAAAGGTACCATTAAGAAAGTACTGGGAGACTAAGGAATGTGGTATGGAGAGGAATGAAGACATGGTTGGCTAGGGCCTGCTCCTTTAGATGGTGGTTTGAAAGGCTCCCATAAGGCAGAAGGCATCACCTCACCTGGCTGCCCATTCTATGTTGAACAATTCTAATCCTTAGCACATCTTTCCTGGCATCAAGCCTAATTTTGCCCCTTTGTAACTTTCCCCCAATCTTGCTGGTCCTGCCCTTGGGAAGCCAAACAGGTCAAGGCTAATTCCTCCTCATTATGATCTTGCAAGTGTTAAGACAAAGAGTGATTCTACCCTCATCAAAACCATGAGATCCAAATTTTTAATGGGTGTGAGGCAAGATCTCCATGGTGATCATTCTGTACTAGCCCCTACATGACCACTTCTCAGGGATGTTGTAGAGGATGGTTATTGTCCAGGTAGAAATGGGTCTAGGTGGCTTCTCAGGTGTCTTTTGATTGTGAGACTCTGTGGTTTGGCCAGTCTCCAGCCACTCTCACACTGAGGACTTGGAGCTGCCCATGAAGCCCTAATTAAACAGAGAACATCACTCCAAGAACCTTCCCCTGGGAAGTGGGAATTTGTTTCAATGGCTGTTAGGGGCTGCATGCAATTAAATGTACCCAGTCATAGACAATTACCTTGAAGGTAAAATGTGGTGAGAACTACAAGCAGATAGAAAGGGGAAAGGAAGAGGCCCTCCTAGCCTCAGTTTCCCCATCTGTAAAATCAAGGGTTTGGAAAGAAAGAAACAACAATTTTTTAAGCATCTACTATGTGGCAGGCACTGAGTTAGCACTTTATGCATGTCTCATTTTATCCTCAGAACAACCCTGGGAATTACATACATTGTTATCACCCCTATTTTACAGTTGAGGAAAATGCCCAGCTTCACACACCTAGTTAGGCATCTGAGACCAGATTGGAATTGAGGTCTTCCTGAATCCCAACCCATGGCTACCACTATTGCACCATCTTGCTGCCTGTAGGTAGCTGTGGAAAAGAGTCACAGCTGTACATAGAAGGCAACAGAAAGTCAGAAAGAAGCACTGGGACTATATTTGGCTCATGGAATGGTTAGAGACTTGTCTGGGTGTTGTAAAGACTGGAGTATAGTCTGAACGCTAGCAAATGGGAGTCAGAGTGACTGACTTGGTGAGTGCAGAACAGTTATGTGATGTGGACCAGCTTACTCTCTCCCCATACCAGCTTGAAACTCTGTCACCTTAGAAAGGCCTAAAACCTAGATTGGCCAATCAGGAGAAAGACATTTGTTGGCCCACTCTGACCTTAACCTTCCATAATGCTTTGCATGCTGACATAACAGACATGCTTTGCTCTGCTCTCTGAGTGAACCCAAGTTCTCCTGCTGGATTTTGCTTATTGGTAATATTCTTCTACCAATGACATGGCCCACCGGACATTTCTTTATCTTTTTATGGCCCTACCATGTTAGAGGCACTATCTTGAAACTCCTTCTTTATGATACCCTATGTTTACTGTTGGTAGAAAACTAGAAATCCTGAGGCCACAGTATTTGTTTTATGAAACTATAATTTTGGCTAATGAAGGACACAGGCATCCTGAACCAGGAAATAAGGGAGGGTTGAGTAGAATGACTCTGAAGATATAAAATCCCCTTTTTCTATCCTTCCTTGAGTTGATTTTCATAATGAACTTCCATGCATATCTCTATATGCATGATTCGCCAGCTTGCAGAGAAATAAATGTGCACATGCAGCTTAATTTTGTTTGTCTTTCCTAGAACGAATTCTGTAAAGGTTGACACTTGACAGTGAGAAGACAGCCAGTTCCATGTTAGAGAATTTAGTAAATGTAAAAGAAAGAATAGGAGTAACTGAAGGAGTGTGGAAAGAATGACTAGTTGGATTCTATAGTAAGGAAAGAGCTGAAATTAACTCAGCGTTCAGCTTGACATAGAAAGCCGTCCACAACCTGGCTCCCACACATTATGTTCTAGATCTGCCTGTCTGCTTGCTGTCTCTGGCATGATATTTCATTTCCTGTCTCTTCAGATAGTTCCACATGTCTGGAACACACTCAATCCTTGTCCCTTCCTGGAAGAGTCAGGGAGTATATAAAGGTAATTCTTGACAGGGATGGGTTAGAGTAAAGGGCCTCAGAGGACCCCTCCAACTCTGAGATTCTATGATTCTTTTAGTGCTCACCTTCCCTCAGACCAAGGGGTAGAGCTTTGATGAGGCTTCCAGTAAACAAACACTATGGCTCCCAAAGCTTTCCTGAGGGCTGTTAACTCCCCCAAAATAGCAATTTTTACCTTGTTCCAGGGATTTTTGTTCCCAATTGGCATAATCCTTAGAATCTTCCCTGAGTTAATCAGCATCTATTGTAGGTCAAAGGATTATCACAGAATTGCAGAATTTTTGTTGTGGAAATTGGATCTTTTAACCAAAGTCACAATTCTACAAGACATACATATTCACTTATTTATTACAGGAGAAAGGCTCATGCCTATTGGAACTCCATATACAAAGGAGCCTAACCCATAGACGATGCCTTCGATATTTATGGGGTACAGGAAAAATGAGAGGTCACATGGGAGGACTACAGGGCAATCCCTTCCCAAATGAAAGTGACATGGGAGGAGGAATGGAGCAGCAGAAGAGGGGGAATGAGAGGAAGCAAGAGGACTTGGAACATCAGACCATGGAGGGAGGATGTTCTGCTCATCTGAAAGGGTCTCAGCTACACAGACTTTATCACTTTGGGCAGACTGGCAAGAGCCAGAAAGCTTGATAGAGTTGTTATGAAAGATAAGTGTTATGTTGTATTAGGGGAGCTTCATCTCTGGAGAACAGGTTACCTCCAGAACACAAGTTCAGGGGGCCTCTCCACAGATCTCAGAGACCATCTAATCCAACCCATATTCTGAAGAAATCCTTCCTGTAACAAGATCATATAGGATTGATCATATCCACTTGTGGGTCATCCCTTAAACTGTTACTTGACTCATTACCTTCTTCATTCTCATTACTTGATTTCTCTAATAATCCAAAGCTATGCCCAGCTGTTTCCTTATTAATTATTAGATTAGAACATTTCTCTTTAGTTAATCAAGCTTTAAGATAGTTCTGGAAATGCTAGCAATAGCATTAATATAGGAGGAAGAAAATCAGAGAGATAGGCTAAGAAGAGAGACAATTATTCTGATTTGTTAATGACATAGTAGGTTACTTAGAAAATCCAAGGGAATCAGCAAAGAAAGTAATACCTCAAGAAAAATAGTTGCAGACTACAAAATAAACCCACAATAACAAATTGCTTTTTTTTTTTAAAGGCAATTGTAGTTAAGTGACTTGCCCAGGGTCACACAGCTAGTATGTGTCAAATGCCTGGTCTTAGGCCGGATTTGAACTCAGGTCGTCCTGACTTCAGGGCCAGTGCTCTATCTACTGTGCCACCTTGCTGCCCCGACAAATTGCTTTTCTATATAATACAGTAAAATCCTAAAGGCAATAATAAAAAGATTGATTCAAAATAGTTGAAAAATGCATAGAGCAACATCCCACACCATATACCAACATTAAGTCAAAACGGGTAAGTAATTTAGACACAGTGTGATACCACAAGCAAATTAGGAGAGCAAGGAATAGTTTAGCTGTCAGATCTATAGAGAAGGCAAGAATTCTGACAAAACAGTAGATAGAGAAGATTATAAAATATAAAATGGATCATTTGGATTACTTTAAATTAGAAAGGTTTTTTTTTACCCACAAAACTAACATACCCAAGATTAGAAGGAAAGCAGATAGATAGGAAACCATTTTTATAGCAAGTGTTTCTGATAAAGCCCTCATGTCTCAAATACACATAGACCCGAGTCAAATTTATCAGAATACAAGTCATTCCCAACTGATAAATGGTCAAAGGGTAGGAACAGGCAGTTTCTAGATGAAGAAATTAAAGCTATCTATAGTCATATAAAAATATTCTAAATCACTACTGATTAGACAAATGCAAATGAAAACAATTCTGGGGTACCCCCTCACACCTATCAGATTGGCTAATATGACAGAAAGGGAAAATAGGAAAAATTGGAGGAGATGTGGGGAAATTGGGACCGTAATGCACTCTTCATGGAGTTGTGAACTTATCTAACTGTTT